TGAAAAGAGACAGAGAGACAGAGCAGCAGCTGACAGGCAGCCTGAGCCCAGGTAGTCCGAGCAACTTGTGCGGGCCAGTCTGGGCGCCTTGATTTGCGTGTGTTTCGTGACATTCCGTAGGTGTATTGGTGCGTTTCAGACAAGACGGTAACAGGTCTATAAGGGCTTAGACACACGGGGCCAGGTGTAGCCCTTGGCGATAATCCCATCAGGGGAAATCCCATTATCTTCTAATGGAGACACCTAGCTGCAGGTGTGGGGGAAATACACATGGCCGAAGAATCTATACTGCTGGTCCTGAGATTTTTTTTTTTAACAGACTTTTTTCTTTTATTTATTTATTTACTTTTTGGAGAGGTTTTGCTATAGGGCGCATGCGCTTACTATACAGAATTATGTCACTTCTAGAAATCGTCTAGGGCGATCCAGCCATGGTGACACATACTGTTAAAACACTGTGCTCTGCTGGCTGGCACCACATGGGAGGCCTAGTTCCATTCCTCATCCAACCTAAAAGCTGGGCATGATGACAAGCACCTGTAAACTCGGTGACTCAGGAGGCTGAGGCAGAAGAGGCCCCCCACATAAAAAAATAAAATAAAATAAATGACACAGATAGATCCTGTCTTTTAAAAAAAAGAGAAGGGGGGACCAACAGTTGGTGTAATGGCTATGTCACTGGACTCCCATGTATTCGACCACAGTTCCAGTCCCGGACCCAGTGACTTAAACTCATGTCGGGCACATGTGTATGCATGTCCAAGATCCCGAGAGGAGAATGGAGAAGGGATTGCAGCGTGGCCATCCCCCTGGGGGGAGGGGGTGTGATGATTTTAACAAGATGGAGTCAGTTCAACTAAGCAGCCCTGGGTTACAATAACGTTTTTTTTTCCTTTTTTACCAGAGGGCATATGCACTCACCAGAGAGAGAAAGTGAGAAGGCGCCCCCTGGGGGAGGGCATTGCCACAGTCTTTCTCCCCCATGCCTCCACCCCGTCAGCATTTGGGGCGCACACACAAGCCAGGCATGTCTTCTGAGCTGCTGGAGCCAGGATTTGGACACTAAGATGAGCTAACTCCACAACCCTGCACAGAGGCCACGCTCAGCTCTTCGTGTTGCTGCAGTTGTACCACGCGTGCTGCTGACATGAGCGCTGGCTGACGTTACATGTAGGAAGCCCTCAGGAAGTAAGACACGTTCCTGCTGGGGCAGCAGACAAACCAAGCAAAGTTTCACGATGCGAGAGCGACGCGGTCCCATCAGCGGGGTAGCCTCCCTCTGGGGGCTCAGGGCAGGGCTTCTCTGGAAGGCGGCCCCAGTGCCAGCACCAACATCAACCAAGCCAGCCACCGAGCTAGCGCCTACCCCAGCACCAGCCCCAAACCTAGCACCTGTCCCTGCACCGGCCCTATCGCCAGCCCCAGCGCCATGGTCACTGCTGGCCCCAGTGCCTGGTGCAAACCCCTCCAGACCTGGCTCCAGCCCAGCGCTGCAGCCAGGCCCACTCAGCACCGGAACTGGTTCTGTCCCATACAGAACCAGTCCCAGGGCCAGAGTCGACCATCTCCTGAGTGAAAGCCAGCCCCGGTGCAGCCGGAGCCTGGACACCGGAGCGCTGGGCAGGACTACTACCGAACCAAGGCGTGAGGGTGTGGACTAGTCACTCGGCTCCGAACAACCGCCTCTGACACAGCGGGCGTGCCCAAATAGGAAAGCGTCATTGGGTTGACCTCAGCTGGAGACGGGTCTTGAACTCACTGCCCAGACTGGTCTGGGTTTTTTTAATTCTGTCAGAGGGCACATGTGCTAGACAGAGAAACAGAGAAAGGGGACCAGCAGATGGCAAAATGGTCATGTCACTGAACTCCCATGTAGTCAACCGCAGTTTGATTCCCAGACCCGGTGGCTTACAGCTCACACCAGGTGTGTGTGTGTGTGTGTGTGTGTGTGTGTGTGTGTGTGTGTGTGCGCGCGCCCAAGATCCCAAGAGGAGAATGGAGGTAAAGGGATTGTGGTGTGGCCATTCCCCTGGGGGGTGATTTCTCTTTCTGTCTCTCCAGCGAGCACACGTGCCCTATAGCAAAAAATCTCAAAATAATAATGACGAAGGAGAAAGCACCCCCTAATGGTGCCAGGTCACACCGCAATCCCTTTTCCATTTCTCCATCCTGTTGGGATTTGGGCATGTATGCATGCATGCCTAGTGTGGGCTGGGACTCAAACCACCTGCCTGGCCACGGGCTGTGGCTGTGAGGTAAGTGGAAGGTCAGGGCCCCGGGGCTTCCACCAGAGGACGGGCCTTCATCATAAGGCACGTCGGAGCTCGTGTTCCGACTCGGGGGCCTCACCTGGCTGGTTGCTCTCTGCGGGCTCTGGGGAAAGACTGAGCACATGCATTTTGGACATCAGTGTGCTTGGGCAGGAGGACGCGCAGCCCAGGTGCCCACCAGCAGCTCAGCTCACGGCTCAGCACTGGGAGTGCGCCAGGGCTGGGCTCTCAGGGTGGCTTCTGGTGCGCACATGTGACCCATCGGCCAAACGAGCAAGATCCCTGGCCAGGCGAGCTAGGAAGGCAC